TGGAGGAAATGGCAGTTATGCAGAGTGAAGATAATCTCAAGAAAACTATCATTATTATCCTCTGAGAGTTAGGAGGAGATATTGTGTCCATGAAATGAGAATAGAAATCTATAAAAAGCAACATTAAGAGAAAACAAAAAATCTCGTGGGAATTTAAAACATGATAACGGAAATGAAAACTCAACACAAGTGTAAGATAAAGTTGAGGAATTATCCCAGAAAGTAGACCAAAAAATAAAAATAGAAACAAAATGAGAGAGAGAGAAAGAGAATGAGAAAAATAAAGAATGAGGAGTGGAATTCCAAAATCTGAATAAAAGAAGTAGTGGTAAGAAAAGAAATGGAGAGGAGGAAATTATCAACAAGGTGATTCAAGAACATTTCTCAGAACTGAAAGACATGAGCTTTCCAAATTGAAAGGGCCCAGTGAATTCTCAGCACAATGGATAGTAAGAGATTCACATTAAGGAACAACAACACTGGAAGCTAGAAGACAGTGGAGAAATGCCTTCAAAATTCTGAAGGAAATGGTTTCTAAACTAGAATTTTATATCCAGCCAAACTATGAATCAAGCGTCAAGGCAAGACATTTTCAGATTCAAAACTTTTATCTCCCAAAAGTAATTTCTTAGAAAGTTGTGGAATGATATGTTCCACCGAAATGAATGAGTAAATGAAGAAAGAGGAAGACATAGGGTACAAAATACAGGATACACAACCTGGCAGTAAGATGAAGGGACTCCCCAGGATGATGGTGAAGGGAGTTCCCAGGATGACAGCTGTATATGAAGCTTAAAGTCCAGATTGGAGCAATGTGACTCAGAGGCATATATGTCACTGACTTTTGACCTAAAAATGGCTGGGTGACCCTGGCCCTATGCTTATCTGTACTTGGATTTCTCAGGTCATGAGCAGATGAAGTTGCATCTCTCCTCTTCCTGTTTGGGTCAGCTGAGGACACTCATTTCCCTTGAGCCTGTTCCTGAGGGCTGGAGGTTAGCCAAGCTGAGATTAGAAGCAGTGTATACAGACCATATTCCTGCCTGATGTTCAGTACCTGCCCATACCATGCCCTGCCAAATGTCCCAATTGTGGTGAGCCCGGTGTTTCTCAAGACTCACTCATGGCCTGGCCTGCAGTCTCCCCAAAGGGCTTTGGTAAACTCGCAGTAAGGATAAAGCTAGGCTATGACCCAGAATCATACTGTAAGCATCCTTCTGTAAATTCCTCTTTTCCATTTAACATTATTTTTGTGAAATTTATCCATGTTGATACATTTAGGTCTAGATCATTTATTTTCACAGCCATATAGTATGATATAGTGTGACTATCCTACAATTTATTAATCTGTTCTTTTGCTATTTGGTCTTTTAGGTTGTTCACATTTTTGTTATTACAAACAATGCTTCTATGAATATTTTTGCACATGGCTCCCTGTGAACATGTAAAAGAATTTCTTTGGTATTTACTTAGAGAGGGATTGCTGGATTATGGCGTTTGTTGTATAACTTAATGGATATTTCCTAAATTTCCTAAGTAAATTTTACCAATTTTTACTCCTACCGGCAATGTATAAAAGTTTCTGGTACTCTACATTCTCACCAATACTTGGTCTTACCAGATTTTTTAAAGTTTGCTAATTGAGTACGTGTAAAATGTTTTCTCATGATTTTCCTTTTCATTTATATGTGACCAGTAAGGCTGAACATCTTTTCATGTTTATTGACCATTCAGGATGCCTATTCTATGATTTGCCTGTTCATATATTTTGCACATTTTTCTATTTGAGTATTCATCTTTTTTCCTAGATTTGAGAAAGTAATTTATATATTCTGAATAATAACCCTTTGTTGATTATAGGTGTTATAAATATCTTTACCCAGAGTGAGGCCTACCTCTTCACTTTTATTATAGTGTCTTGTTTTTGGTAAACTTAAAAAAATTAAAGTATAATAAATACAAATAGAGTACACAAATCTTAAAGGTATAGTTCAATAAATTTTTACAAATAAATATACCTATATAAATATATTATGTGTCTTTTGATGCATTTTTAAAATGTGGTTGAATTAACAAATCTTTTCCTTTATGGTTTGTGATTTTGTGATTTGTTTAAGAAATACTTCCCTATCCCCATGTCATAAACATGTTCTCTTATTTTTCTTCTAAACATTTTATAGTTTTATTTTTTTATATTTAATGGACCTGGAATTGTTTTTTTTGTGTGTGGAGTTTGAAGTAATGATCCAGTTTTTTTTTCATATGGATAACCATTTGTTCAAGCACTATTGATTGGCCATTGTTACCCTCTAATCTACAAATCCACCACTTTCATGCATCAAGATTCCATATGTGTGTGGGTTTAATTTCTAGATATCCCATTGTGTTCCACAGTCTCTGTCTAGCTTTGCGCCAATACCCACTATCTTAATTACTGTAACTTGATCATAAAATTTAATATTGGGTAGAGCAAAACTTGCTCCATGTTTGTACCATAAGCTCCTAGTTGAGTACTGAAGTATGAAAGCACTCTAAATGATTTTGCAAACTCAGGTTGGTAAGGGAGAAACTGCACCATGCTTGTGGTCACAGGGTCTGGCCTCAGTTTTGTCTCATCTGGGTATGTGGCGTTGGGCAGGTCACACTTCTGTCTGGGCCTCAGCTTTTTCATCTTAAAACACGTAAATTTGACTGGCTCCATAAGGTCCCTTCCAGCTCAGAAAGTCCTAACTCCATCATACTTGTTTTGTCATATTTCCAACAACCTACCCTCTGCCCAGCAAGGCACAGTATGTTGTAGAATTCACCACTGGAAAAGGAATGGCTCCAACCCCTGATTTTTTGTTCTTGCGTTTGAGGACTAAACTGGATTATCAATTTTTTTCCTTTTAAAGTCTTTTCAGATTTTGTCGTCTAAGCTCAGAAGAGAAACAATGATTTATTTCTCATAAATGTCTCATCTATTTTGTTCATACTTTCTAAAACAACTTGGTTTACATAAAGATTTTAGTTGGTCCCATTGGGACTATAAAAATACCTCTTCCTCTTTCAGAATGGATTATTTTGAGTAATGATATAAATGAAAATCAGCATGTAGTTTTATCTTGGTCACTTTGAACTAGAACCAGCAGAAGAAATGTTCCTGCCCTTATAAAGCAAATTAGTTCTATAGTGACATGCTATAACTAGTGTGCTTTATCTTAAGAACTATATTTGTTCATTTACATTTATGAAATAAATACTTAGGAGGGTGGGTGTAATTATTCACAGTACTGAAGACTTAAAAGTTTAAAAATGTGGATTCATTATGGACTTTCTTTAAAATATTATTTATTGGGAAATATTCTGTATGGCAAGACAGATATGAAGTCAAGATTTTCTCAGTTGGAAGGGATCTAATGGGGCCAGTCAAATCTGCATGTTTTAAGATGAAAAAGCTAAGGTCCAGACAGAAGAAGAATAACTTTTTCTGGAAGTTACTGGAAGAAGAGGACCCCTTCTGCTCCAGAAAACTCTTCTAGGTGAATTGAAATTTATCTACATGCTTTTCTCTTATTGTTAAATTACAATATTATACATACATTCATGGGCAAATCCAGGTTTTGTGGAGTTTAAAGTAATTCAATTGTGGGGGGTGGTTTTTTTTAAAAAAGCACACAGAATTACAAATATAAAGTTAAGCATAGTGTTCGCTTCGGCAGCACATATACTAAAATTGGAACGATACAGAGAAGATTAGCATGGCCCCCGTGCAAGCATGACACGCAAATTCGTGAAAAAAAAAAAATGAAACATAAAAGGGAATATTTATTTAGAATAGAAAAAAAAAATCACAACGAACTACTAAAAATTTAGAGATTCCAGTCCCTTTCTTCTGAGATCTCTTTAGACAATTTACCAGAAACACATATACAGTAGCCCCCCTTATCGGTGGCTTCACTTTCCCCGGTTTCAATTACTGGAGGTCAACCATGGTCTGGAAGCAGATAATCCTCTGACAATAGTCAAAAGGTCAATATTAGCCTAATGCTATGTCACAATGCCTACTCATTCACATCACGTCATCTCATCACATAGGCATTTTATCATCTCACATCATCAAAAGAGGAAGGGTGAGGGGCCGGCCCAGTGACATAGTGGTTAATTTCGCACTCTCCGTTTTGGCGGCGTGGGGCTTGCAAGTTCGGATCCTGGGTGCGGACCTATGCACCGCTCATCAAGCCATGCTGAGGTGGTGTCCCACATACAAAATAGAGGAAGATGGGCACAGGTGTTAGCTCAGGGCTAATCTGCCTCAGCAAAAAGAGGAAGATTGGCAACAGATGTTAGCTTAGGGCCAATCTTCCTCACTGGAAAAAAAAAAAAATAAACTGTAGAAGTTGGACTTGGAACCAAGAAAAAATAATGTTTAAAAAAAAAAAGAAGAGAGGTAAGTACAGCACAATAAGATATTTTGAGAGAGAGATCACATTTACATAACTTTTATTATAGTTTATCATTATAGTTGTTCTATTTTATTATTAGTTATTGTTGTTAATCTCTTATTGTGCCTAATTTATAAATTAAACTTTATCATAGGTATATATGTATAGGAAAAAAAAAAGTATATATAGTGTTCAGTACTATTTGCAGTTTAAGGCATCCACTGGGGGTCCTGGAATGTTATCCCCCTTGGATAAGGGGAGATTACTGTGTTGATGTTTCCAAGCACAGTTGGTCTTCCCTTCGCCACCGAGAACACTCCACAGCTCCCAGCAACAGTCGGCATTTGTGGCTTCTGCAGCTTCATGGTAAATCCACTTCTGCACACATCATGCACACTATTTCACTAATTGTAAGAAGCAGTATAATACAGAAAATAGAGGCATCTATATTTAATTTTCATGTCACAAGAAAAGACTAAAAGCACATTTGTTATCATGTATAGTGGAACGCATGGACTTTAGCTAAAAATAAGGGTAGGGAAAAATGATACCTTATATTCATTGTCTGTTACATACCAGACTCTCCCTTGTTTTTAAATGAGGAAACAGAGGCTTATAGAAGTAAAGCAAGCTGTCCAAGGAGATGCAGCTATTTGTATTCTATCACTCCAGCCTCCCACAAATAATTCCAAAAATGACTCTGTTCAGTTGCTCTGAAGAGGGCCTAGTGCAGAAGATGCAAAATGACAAATGAGGCCATTCCCGGGTGGTGGAGCTCAGAAGCACAGAACATTTCCCCAAAGATACCAGCCTCACATCCCTTTGGAAGGTTTTTAACAAAAATAACAAACCATACAGCTGGTTGGAGGTAGAGTTTGGGTTACTTCCCAGCATTTTAGTTTTAAATCCATGACATAACTGCAGCCTGCTACATACCAGTGTGTATTGAGACCAATATATTTCCTCTTAGCTTGTGATTTTATCTTTTTATCAGTTAGTAGAATATAGTAACATATTCAGAATTTATGACTTCTAGGATATAGCATACTGACTTTAACAAGCCACTTCAATACCCACTTTAAATACCTGTGTGATGAAAAATACTTAATTTTAAAAGATTGTATCTTATAAACCTGGTAAATATGTTAAGCCGGCGAGAGCATGTAGTCTGAGAGTTGAGAGAACTAGTCTTGGTCCTACTCTTGCTACTAACTACTTTTCTGCAACATGATGATTTCTCTCCTTTGGATGCAGGCTACAAAATTCATAGCCTCTTTCAATGTAGGGTCCTCAGTGATGAAATGAAAGTGTTAGACTTAGAAACAGTCCACAACTTAAAAAAAATGTTTTTACAGAGAACTGATATATGAAAATGTTTATTCCAGCATTATTCATAGCAGTGGGCGGAGTTGGAAGTAACCTAGGGAACCATACCAGGAGAATGGATAAGTAATTTGTGTTGCATGATTATCATGGGATATTACCCAACTATTAAAAGCACCAAATTATGACCCAGAATCATACTGTAAGCATCCTTCTGTAAATTCCTCTTTTCCATTTAACTTTATTTTTGTGAAATTTATCCATGTTGATACATTTAGCTCTAGTTCATTTATTTTCATGGCAGTATTGTATTCTATTGCTTGACTATACTATAACTTATTATGTTCTTTTGTTGTTTGGACTTTTAGGTTGTTTACTTTTTGGTTATTACAAACAATGCTTCTGTGAATATTTTTGCACATCTCCCTACAGTGCAGATAGATCTTAAAAAGATAATATATAGTGAAAAAAATAGGAACAATCACATCTGTAGAATAATACCAGTTACGTAGATTATAAACATTTATTTTTAACACAAAGTAACAGCATACATTTTATAAAGATAAGTGAATATTCAAATACATATATTAAATACATCAGGTGCCACAGCTGGGGCTGGTCTTGGGCATGCAGATGAAGGAAGAAAGGGTGTGGTGGTGGAAAGAAGGGCCTTGCATGAACCAATGATTCTAGGGTGTTAGGAAAAGATATGATTAACTGAATTCTGTGTACATACAAAGCTCTGAAATAGTCACTTGCTCAAGAAAGACTATGGGCTTGTAAGAGTCAACACCAAAACTATATTGACTGAGAAGAATATGAAATATAGATTTAAACTAACAGATATAGGAAGTATAAACCTTCTCATGTAAATTCAAAATTACCGATAAAGTAAGGAGAGATGCATTTAAGGAAACAATCAGTACTTATATATTAGAATCAGGTCCTTAATTCACATGTGTGAATTGTGGGTGGAATTTGAGTCTTGAAGAATTTACAGGAAATCCTTGTGTGATAATAATGAAAGGTTAGATGTTCTCAGCATTGGACACTCACCACCTTCATTGTTTCTGTTGTCTTTCCTTCTTTCAGCCAGATTATTTTGGCTCTACTTTCTCTGGCCCACTTCTATAGCCAGTACCGGGCTTCCTCTTCCTTTGGCTGCTGTCTTGGCATGCATGTTATTGATATTTCTTTTAAAGAAGTAAATAGTTCTTGCTTTGGCCACACACAATATAAACTCTCGCTCTCTCTTGCTTTCTCTCTCATGCGTAGACACACACACACACACACACACACACACACACACAGCTACTCCTAAAACATTGGATAAAGCCAACCGTACAATTAGTGGCTTAGAAGTGAAATTTAATGCAAGGGTAAAAGAGGTGGTATAAATATGATGAGTGAACAAAAACGTTCCAGAGAATTCCAAGAAGTTATTTGTTCCATAAAGAAAGAGATGACTAGGACCAAAACTTTTTCTTATTCTTTATCATATTCTCCATTCCCATAGCCTAAATCTAAGTATTTAAATTATATTACTATATATGATAGGTTTAATATTTTATCTAGAAAAAAACTTCTGATGATCATAAATCCCATTACCAGGTAGGGATTGAGTTTTAAGCCCCCCACAGCTTTTTCTGTGACTGCAACTTAATGATTTCTCTCCTTTGGCTGTGGGGTTTTGCCTTGGTGTTTAAAGGCTTTGTAGGGTAAGCAAATTTCAACATAGAGATTCAAGATAATATTTGTTGCTTAGAATGGAAAGAGTTTGAAATCTAACACAGCTATTTTAGTAATCTGTTATTAACATGGAATGAGGAGGTTCAGGTTAATGGACATCCCCGATACCTTAAGTTTTTATTTTTAAAGGCCAAATATTATGATTACAATGCTATGATAGTAGTAGTATTAGTATCATTACTTTGGAAGAAAATATTTTACACTGAATTTTTCACTTCTTGGCTTCATTGCACAGAATGTTGGTTATCTGTTCTGCATTTATTGATGGCGGTTGTCATGGATAGTGAAAAGGAGTTCTGATGCTTGCTGTATGGTGGTGGCAGGTGCAGCAGTGTGGTGTGGTGGTAAAGGGAATGGGCCCAGGAGCTGGACTGCCTGGGTTGAATCCTGGTTCTGCCAATAATGAATTGTATGGCCTTGGGTAAGTTATTTAACGCCTTGGTATTGTATAGAGTGATTATAAGGATTAAATGAGGTAATATGTGTAGAACACTTAGAATAGTGCCTGTCACATAGTAAGCACTATTTCTGTGTTTGTTAAATAAAAATAAATACACTTCAGGGGCCAGCCCAGTGGCGCAAGCGGTTAAGTGTGCGTGCTCCGCCGCGGTGGCCCAGGGTTCGCAGGTTCGGATCCTGGGTGCGCACCGACGCACTGCTTGTCGAGCCGTGCTGAGGCAGCATCCCATATAAAGTAGAGGAAGATGCGCATGGCTGTTAGCTCAGGGGCAGTCTTCCTCAGAAAAAAAGAGGAGGATTGGCATCAGATGTTAGCTCAAGGCTGATCTTCCTCACTAAATAAATAAATAAATAAATACACTTCAGCACGTGATTTGAGGTGTATGTAAATGACCTTGGACTGCTCTGATTCTCATTTTAAGTGATACTTCTTCTGCCTCCTTTCTTTCTGTTGGCTGCCAGTTGAGTCCATTTCTAGTACCTCTCCTTACTCCCTTATTAAGTGGATATTTCTAATTCGTGGTGGCCTGGGAAATGAGGATATCAACTTATTAGAATTATGTCTAAAGTTAAATTGAATAGTTGGAAGGTCTTTCTTATGAATCATGCATATGATCTTTAGTTCTTGGATGAGAAGACATCTACCTAACTTGCTCAGAAATGGTCCTTTTCTCTCCTCTTCCCATCAATTATGTTCTGAATAACTGAGTTTAATTGCTAAATGTTCTGTAGTTAACAGGGTTTATCATACAATCTTTTATTCTGTAAATATATTCTGCACTGAGTATCACGGCTGTTTACTCTTTCCTCCCCATTTTTACATGAAAGCAATCATTCTGGGATAACAAAGAATTTGTTGGGCTAAGGGGAAGAGGAATGGATATATATCATGGTAGATGATGGTAAACAATCTCCTCTGGGCTTACTCTTTATTGCTAACTGCAGAGAACTGCCATAGCCCTCTGCTTGATTGTGTACTAGCAAGTTTTCTTAAAAGTTTTTTCAACCTAACCAGGGTCTTTCCTAGATGAAAGGATGTGCATAATTCCAACTATGATGTATGAAACAAGGCAAAGCTGTTGAAAACTCATGTAAGCCATCACTAGATTAACTCTCCACTCCCTTCCACTCTCTGCTGTAAAAATGCCCAACAACCACAAAACAAACAAACCATTCTTTTGGAATTATTCTTCTCGGCTTTGTAGTGAATGGAAAAAGTGAACTTAAGAGCACTCTTGAAGGTAGCCAAGATCTTAATTCAAGGCATGATCATAAAATTTGAGAGTTCGAAGAGTCCATAATGATTATTTAGTTCAATTTCTGGATTTTCAGAAAAGGAAACCGAGACCTGGAAAATTTGAGTGACCTGACAAAAATCACAAAGCCAGAACTTGACACTTTATTTATTTATTTATTTTGTGAGGAAAATCAGCCCTGAGCTAACATCCGATGCCAATCCTCCTCTTTTGCTGAGGAAGATTGGCCCTGGGCTAACATCTGTGCCCATCTTCCTCTACTTTATATGGGATGCCACCACAGCATGGCTTGACATGTGGTGTGACAGTCTGTGCCCTGGATCCAAAACTTCGAACCCCTGGCCACCCAAGTGGAGTGCTCGAATTTGACCACTATGCCACTGGGCTGGCCCACAGAACTTGACACTTTAAACACTGGTGAGGCTATAATTTTTTTGCTATGATACTTACCATATGTGGACCTGAGATATATTACAAGTTGTACCAGTTTGGTTTATCTCAGATGCAAGTGATTGAAAAAATAAAAACAACAACAACAAAAAAGCCTAGCATAAGCTGATTCAAGGAAAAGGAGAAAATTATTGGCTCATGAAATTAAGAAGTCTAGGGGAAAGTTTGGCTTCAGGCACCCCATGATCCAGCAGCTCAAATAATGACAACAGAACCCATTTTTCTCCGTCATGGATCTGCTTCACTCTGTTATTCTCAGACAGATTCTTTCTCCATATTTGAAAGATGGTGGCAGCAGCTCTGGATTCTATCCTCTCAGATTCAAGTTCAGTAGAAAAGAACGAGGGGTGCCAGAAGT